ACTGGAAATAGGAACTTTAAATATCAGTTTTCCAAGTGAATCAAATACATCCAGTGTCCCTTTCTGCATATGCACAGTGAAACCTTTTTCAAGCAACTGTCCAAGGCTTAACAGATTACTCTTCATACCTGGCACAAAAAGAACATCTGTAATGAAAGCATCAGCACCATTACTTCTCTTGATGACAACATCACCTGTTCCTTCAGAGGCAATCAATCTATCATCTGCAAATCTGACCTTACTCTTCTTGGAATGATCAAAGTTGACCAACCAGTTCTTGTGACCTGTCATATGATTTGAACACCCCGAGTCCAAATACCAAGTATTGCCATTATTTTCAACCATGTGTGTTGTCATCATCAAAGTTACAGGTTCTTTATCAGAACTAGTGCCATCCTGTGCCAGATTAACTTCATCCCAATGTCTTTCATTCTCAGATTGATCATTCTGGGCAGGTGCTCTACACTCGTTTGAAAAATTCCCAATCTTATTGCAATTGAAACATTTTATCTTCCTCCTATCAATCTTCTTCTTTCCACCTCTACCTTGATGGAAACCACCACGTTTGTAGGAAGTTTCAGCTCCTTCTTGATCATTCTTGTGTTGATCATGAGTGTAGTTATTCTGTCCAGAGTTGCTTCTGCCCCTACCTCTTCCTCTACCTCTGCCATGAGACCCTCCTCTCCAAGTGAATGGTTTCTTGGTAGTTTGGGCAGTCAAAGCATGATCAGTGGCTTTATCGGCCTTTCTTTCCAGAATTCGATGTTCATTAGCTTCTAGGGAACCTTTTAGTGCTTCCAATTTCAACGTTTTAAGATCCCTAGATTCCTCAATCGCTACCACTATATGATCAAAACTGGGAGGTAGGGTTCTTAATACCTTTTCAACAATGTTTTTCTCTGTTATCTGCTCACCGTATAACTTCATTTCATTCGTCAATGAGATCATGCGATTCACATAATCGTCTACTTTTTCATTCGCCTCCATCTGCATCAATTCGTATTGTCTACGCATTGATTGAAGTTTCACCTTCTTCAATTGATCAGCTCCTTCATTGCTGTCCTCCAGGATTTGCCACGCTTCTTTAGCGTTATTTGCATTGGCAATCTTCTCAAAATGAGCATTGTCAACACACTGATGAATCAGAAACATTGCTTTGCAGTCTTTTTTCTTGTTCTCAGCGAAAGCACTTCTCTCCGCTTCTGTGGATCTCTCGGTCAGTACCGGAAATCCTCCTTCCACTATCTCACGAACATCTTGATAGCCAAACAAAACTTTCATCTGTATGGACCATCGTCGCCAGTTCTTGCCGTCGAGAATAGGGAGATTTGAGGTGAGATTGTTCATCGCCTTCGTCGTTCTTGGGATTTCAGAGTACGCAAGTCACCGGGATCTGATACCAGTTTGTTAGCGCATAAACTGATCTAACTAACTTGAACGTACTCAACAATATAATGGGATCAACTGGCTGTATTGAATAGAGTGCAGTACATGGTATATTTATACCAATATTATTTGAGAATCTAGCTATATGTGTATTATTATTTAACATTTTCACCTACATTATTGCCATTCGCCTTCATTCATGTCAGCTTTGCTATTCAATGTCATTAAACAACAAAAAGAAGAAAAAAGAAAATTAAAGAAAGCACGACGCCCCCCCTCCATTCATTCACAACACAAGATTAATGACAACAATTATGGCGTCAACCAGAGCATGGAAGAACGGGTCTCCTTGTTCGCCTGAGAGCAACCCTCGTTCGTTGAGACGGGGGAGGGTCGTTCATCCCTAATCGTCGCTTCGGCACCGTCCTCCTGACAATCTACCAACCCTAATTTCAAGAAATATGAGGATAATGCAGCTGAGTTTTTAGCACCTATTTTTGCCGTACATATGTACTATTTGGATGATCTTTAATACGGAGTATATATTTACATTTCATCGAAAAACAGAAACATGAGAAGGTTTAAAATAATAACCTAAGGGCATATAAGTTACGTAGTAATATAGATTATTTATTTATTTATTAAATACAATATTTAAATATTACCAATTAAATACTATTTTTAGGTAAAAACTAATAAGGTCATAGATTGGTATAGTGAAGAACTTTTAGTCATATCTAAGATAATTTTCTCTAAAATAAATATAGCTCCCTTATACAAAGTACAACTTATTACTCAATAGAGTGTGTATATAGAAGAATGATCTTGTAAGACCGTAGGCCGGCCTAATAGACATTTTATATCCTGGGATCGGCACACCATGAGGATGGTGTGCCCGATCCCAAAACGGTGTAGTTTTATACAGAGTAATAAAAAATTGATGAGCTCGATCGAAGGTCCATCTTTGTCCGAATATGGCACACTTGCTCCTGAACTGAAATTCTACTCATAGAACTCCCGTCTCCATTAATGGAGGAAGAACCTCTGAATTTTTGAAGCTATTGGAAATAACGGAATGGTAAGTTTTCTTCTTATTTCTTCTTCTTCTCCTCCTGCATGTCCTCCGGGAAGATTTATGCATAATCATTTTAAAATAGAAAGCAAATTCTTTTGATTTGATTTAGTATTATTCCAATTCAGATTAATCTGAATTTTTCCATTCTCCTGGATGTTGATTTCACAAGTTACATCTCCTTGTTCCCAAGTTACATTTGAATAAGCTAAAATTACATTCACAAGTTACATCTGACTTGTTCCCAAGTTACATTTGAATCAAAATAGTTCACATTTCAATGAGTTACATTTGAATGAGTGTAATTTACATCTTGATAAACTTGAAGTTACATGTGAATTAACATGATTTACATTACATATAACCTTGGGAGCAGGATGCTCACCCTGCACCGCTCCCACGGTATAGCAACTGGGCCTAATAAGATTCACCGTCTAACCACTTCCATTTGAGCTGTGTCCCGATGGAATTTTGATAAAATTTATGAACATATAATAAATTCAACTAAAGATCAATCGGAGATTCAATTAAATAAATTATTGAAAAAACATTGTATCAAACATATATATAAAGCGTGATATTTTTCAATAATGTATCTAACTGATTTCTTGATTAAATTTGAAGCCAAAATTTGGTCGACGTAATCTACACTTCATGAAGAATTGTCCATAAATTTTCATCAAAACATTCTGTTTTGAAGCACCTCAAACGGTGAATCTTTTTAGGCCAGACTTAACGGGATCATGCCTTTGTGTATGTATACTTGATAGTACTAAAGTTTCATACACATTGCTCAAAATAATTCACTAAATGCATTAAGACTTTGTTATGTGTTTTCATGGGGAGTGTTTGAGCACTCAATAAGTCATTGACCAAGTATAGATCCGTGACACTTTTCCTACTGTCCACACACCTTTGACCTTTCTCTCAACCATTTCAGCGCAAACTACACTAACGGTTACAAGTTACACCTCTTATGTAATCCTTCTTTTATTAGGTGTTGTCATTAATGGTCATAGGCCCATAGCATTACTTATCATCATAGTGTGTAAACTTTAAACTGTATCTAGTATTCTAGTGATCAGTTGGCGTAACTCAACTAATAAATAGGGGTGTCACAAAAGTAAGTCTTGAGTTGGAATCATGTGAACTATGATGAAAGATTACTATGTAAAATGCGTAGGGTTTCTTCAAATAGTTGGGAATCCTGAGAGATGGAATGTTATATTGTTTTTAAATTATATCTAGTGTCTTTAGAGGAGTATAATCTACAAAACGAGAGACCCAATAAGTGCAATCTTGCAGCTCAAGATTAGGAGTTACGTTGTAATAACTAGAATTTTCACCCGTGCGTTGCACGGGATGTGATTCATAAATATTGCTCATGTTTACTTTATTACATGGGAAATAAGGAATTAATTACCTAAATTCACCCTAAATTATAAAATTTTGTACATAGTAGTGGCGTATGCAAGGCAATATATTGAGGTGATCCGGTACAACCTTGATTTAATTGCGGGGAAGAAGAAATAAGGAAAAGAAACGGAAGAGAAAGGTAGAAGGAATCAGAAGTCGTCGATTTAATTGATGAGAATCAGACGGGTGTTAGGAAAAGTTGGGTGAGCGGGAAATTCATTTTGTGGAATTGTAATGCTATTGTAGTGCTATTAAGGAGAGTATCGTCCAGCAAAATTTACCCAGAAACCATTGATTTGATGAATGATGACCATAAAAATCTAGCAATTAAGAAATCTGTAAACTAGAAATAATGAATGACCCGATCAAATTAAGACTGGGTAAAACTCAAATGTGCCAATGAAATCCAATTACATTGATCTATGCGGTTACGATACCAACTCAATTTAGAGTAAAAATTGTGCAGTCTCGCAAATACATTGGTTCTGGCCTTCTGGGTTTGCCCATGACCTCAATCACTGACTGGGTCAATTCCACAACACAGGGTTAGAGTGAAAACAATGTTTTTACGTATTAATTTCAATGAATAATAACAACCAAAAAAGGATAACATCTCATTCCTGAGAGTCCCCAGAACCCACTAGACAATTATCTAAGACGATGTAAATTGAGCTTTGATTACACTCTGATGGAAAGTGGAGTTCCATCCCAAGCCATTGCTTGGAGTTGAACTCGGGACCTCTCCCTTGTGGCACACTCTTCCTACTAGAGTACCAGGTGAGCTACGAATAATACTAACCAGACATTTGGAAATTGGAATACAGCAACATCAACAACAACAACATCCAAGTCTTAATCCCAAAAGAATTTCGGGTCGACTAATTAGCTAGCATGAATCTATCCATGCTATCAAGGGAAAAAGGTAAGATGAAATGGATAAGATAAAGATAAATATAAGATAACAATAACATAAGAATATAAGAAAGATAAGAGAGAAAATGATAAAAGAGCATAGAAAGGATAGGAGATAAAAATACGGAGTAATATAAGAACATAAAAACATAATGAAGATAAGCGATAAAAGGAAAAGAGAGAAGAAAAGATAGAAAAGAGATCATGTGAAGTCAATGGAATGAGGAGCAGAATATAGAATGTGAGGAACTAGCTGGAAATAACTGTGAAGTCAATCTTGTTCCAACCTTTTTCAATGTAACCTATGCTTTGTTTTACATTTGAACAAACTAAGGCCGGCTGGTCTATTACCACTATATTATGAAAATCTTCACCAAATTCTGAAGGCCTTCCCAAACTGTAAATGAATATATGCTGAGGTCGAGCAGGCGTGTAATCATACATTAGCCCTTGGATTTGATGGAGATTGAAGAGGGTAATTTTTTATCCTGTAAAGATCAGAGTTCAGTCCAAATTTGAACATCATTATGTAGTACTAGAAGAAAAGCTTAAATCAGATTATATTCAATCCATGCATGCCCATGTTCAAAGAGATGCGCGCACACACACATATATAAGGGACACACATATATAAGGGAGAAGGCAACCAAGCATTCCAGCCCAGCTGGTTGTGAGGTTACCGTGCCTTGTGAGAGGTATCAAGTTCGAAACCCGCTAGGCACACAAGGGTTTGAAACTCAATGGAGTGAGTTTCAACCCTGATTACTCCAGGCTCCCCAGACCCCCTCCCCCAGACCCCCCGGAGTAAAAAAAGGGAGAAGGCATCAAAAGAAGGTTTTGGAACAAATGAACACAGTACCCTTGGTCCAAACAATTTAGGGGTACACATATGTTTTCTGATGCAGAGTTCAAGCCTTCAAGGATATGTTTATTCTAATTTTGCAAGTTTTAGTGTTAATTGTTCCAAAAACAAGTTGAGAGGTATATGTGTTCAATGTATATTGTTCAAAGATAAGTAGTATATTTTTTCCTTCTCCCTAGATAAAACCACCAGAAAATGCAATTTACAACGCATTGTAAAAAGAGATTGCTCAGACAATACATTGCTTCAAAATAGAAAGAACCCATTGTCATCTTACCTTGGGAGCTCTCTTCCATTTCCCATTGACCCAATCCTGGTGCTGCCGCAAATCAGCATGCTTAAACGTTAATTCCTCCTTAGTGTTGCTGAAGTAGACAATGTATTTATTGTTGCCTCTAAGAACTTTATAGATCGTCCCTACCCACCATCCATCATTATACAGAGCATCTACTTTATCAAAAACTTTGAAGCTCTTAACTCTGCCAGTATTGGGAGGACATGGCCGTATATGCATATGATCAACCTCTTCTTGCACAAACGCTGTGTCGTCATCATTCCTTAAGCTCTGATACTCTACAATGTAATTACCACTGCCTAGTTGTTTTACGACAGTAGCAACAAACCAAGCACCATCGTAACCCTCTTCATCACTGCTTACTTCGACCATCATTCCTTGATGGAAAATTTGTCGACTAACATCATTGTTTGGCTTCTCCTCTTTTGATATTTCATTTTCCTGCATTGAAAGTTTCGAATTAACATCTAGCCAGAAAATAGTGAGAAAGAAAAAGGTCAAAGAACAAAACAAAAGGATAGAAGTAAAAGCCCATAACATTTTTACATATGCTTAACATCACATCTCCTTTACAGGTCTACTTATTAAGACCAGGACGCAAGGATGTTGTGCAGGAAGGAAAAAAAGTGCAACAAGTGATCTGTTTTATATTGTGTACATTTCATACAACCTTACCTTTAACTCCACCCCAGATTTATTAGCTATACTATGTTCATTTTTGGACAACTCCCCCCACAAACCTAAACTCCCTCCACCAAAACATAAATAGTGTTGAAGTACTAAATGTTACAATCACTTTTCTTATATAGAAACTGAGTTTATTGAATTAACTTTTAGCCTTAACTAATTTTGGGCAACTAATAGAAATTACAAATTTCATGTGACCGGTCTCATATCGACCCATATTGACTTCCTTAACTTAAAAGGATGGGCCATTGCTTGCTCTATCAAGCTCGAATAAATTTAATCAAAATACTTCAATGGCTTATTACGTTTGTGCCTTCAACCTGGCATACTCATCATCTAAACATGTCAAACTTCAAAGAAAGCTAATTTACTGTGGGCTGACTTGACTCTGCAATGAAAGCAAGTTTTTTGGAAGTTCTTTGAAATTTTGAATTGCTTGCTCTTATAACCAGTAAACCTAAGATCGTAAGCTAAGCTCATCCCTAAGATAAACTATAGAGTAAAAAGGCAAACTGGAGAACCTATAAGACAAACATCATTCTAGAAAACATAAATAATCAGCAGCAGATTGGGCATAGGTTAACTTGAAACTTGAAAAGTTGAAAGTAGTGTTCGCAGTGAGTCATTTCAGAAGGATTAGAACTTCAAAAAAACATTGGTAAATAAGGTATGTAAATTTTTATGATGTGTATATGATACTTTAGTGTGAACTTGGTACATTGCGACAAACCTTATAGGGTATATATAAGCTTTGTGGAATCCTTAGCTGAACTAGGGTCCTTGAGGACAAACTAGGAAATTCCTTACTGTTATGACTTATGAATCTTTTCATCTTAGATTATGCTTCAAGGACGTAGCATCCTTTAAGGGGGTAGAATGCAATATCCTAAAAAAATTACAAAATAAAATAAAAATAAATCAGATACAATCAATCTGATAAAACTAAAATAAAATGAATACTAAGGATGAAATAAGTAACATTATCAAGACTCAAATGATATCAAATACAAAAAAAATAAAGGTATATTCTATAAGACCGAGACTGAAAGGTGTACTTTTTACAAAGAATAGATGAGAGATTACAAAACACCAATAGAGATTACAAAGGTTGTAACTTCTATAATAAGACAATCTTCTTGCATTCTTTTACAGAGTTATTTTTTATTTTTAAGCAAAACACCATGTCTAAATGAAATGACAAACTTGAGCTTAAATCTAACATTGTTAGATAGTTACAAAAAGTTGTAAGAGATGACAAAATCTAAATGACATAAACTAAACTACGCGCGTTCAGCAATGAAGTTCCTGAAAGCTGCATTCTAGGATTGGACGTTGCTCTCTAACACGATTCTAGCATGATAGCACCAATCAGTGATCTTGTACTGAGCAAGAGTGGTTCAGATGGTGATTGGCTCATCTTCATCCATGGCGTCCTTATCATTGCAGGTCTGGTTCTGAGGTGGGGTCCGAGAAATTTCTTTTGGAATGGTCAAATCATCAGTTTGATTTCCAGTTGAGGAAGTCATTGTCTCAGGACAGCTACGCTTGCAACAAGAAGAAGGCATGCCGGTTATTGTGTGATAGAGGATATCAAACCAGCGGGTTTTGTTGTTGTGAAATTCAGCAGCTCTAAAGAAACCTTGGTAACCGGTAGAGCATGAGGCGACCGAAAGTGTCACATGTCAAGGGGTCTACCATGAACCTTTAACTCTTGACTTCAAGTAAATCTATTATCCCTCTCATCCTCTGTCATGTTACTATTAAGGGTGAAACCATTGATGTTGAATGGGTTACCAGTACTCAAGGCGTGATTATTGCAAATTAGCAGTGTCGGGGGAGTGTCTTCAAGAACGAGGTTGATGTGAACTGGGCGGATGATAAAGTTCAGGTGGGTCAGGAAAGCATCACACACCTATCTGAAATGTGGGCCTGCGGAGTATGGAAGTACTCTGAGGAGGCAAACAAAGAACTTTTTTCAACAGAGCAACGGATGGAAACATAAAGATGCCAGAACCATGATGAAACGTAGACGGCAGCTATGTGTACTTTTTAATCAATGTAACCTGCTTGCATGTCGAATGACTCAGCGAGTCCATAAATGGTGTGAAGACGCTGAAATAGATCATTGGAGTTCAGGATCACATAGCAGCAACATTTTCACAGATGGTCACGGTGTAAACCAATTTGGTATTCCTCCACGAGTGAATCTGCAATTGGGGATAAATCAGACAGCAGGAGAGTGGTTTTCAAAGTAGCGATAGACTGTAAAGACAGTGTCCTTTTCATGCTCCTTTGAAGGGGGTCGGATTAACACTTCGATGTTGAAGAAGCTATATTGCTAATGAAATTAAGTAAAATGAAACTCTCAGAGTTCTTTGTTGAATTGAACTCTCTGAGGTAATTGAGAGCATGTTTGGCATGCAATGAAAAATATTGTTTTTTCTAGCTTTTGGATTAAAAATCAGGATGGCAAACAATTTTTTGTGCTATGAACTTCCTGTTAAGGACTGCAGAATTGAATCAGGTTTGTCGATTCATTAATTCTTCTTGTGATATAAAACCATAACTGTTATGAGAGTTGCATAGATAAAACTAGACAAGTCCGTGGATCACCAAAAAAACTCAGGCTAAGAAGACATAACTACGTCGCAAAGATATGCATACAGATATATGTATAAGTTGTTTGCATAGTCTACCTCAGCATCTCCATCCCCCATGCGCGGGATCCATTCGCCGTTGGCCCACTCGCGGTGGAGACGGAGCTCCGATCCAGCGAAATCCAGCTGCTCCCTTGTTGCCCTGAAGAACACCGAGTACTTCCCGCCTTCCAGCGTAGCGATTACGATGCCTTCCCACCATCCATCGTTGTAGTAGGCGTCCACCTCCTCGCTGGACTTGAATCTGCGAAGGCCCTCTCGGAGCTGCCGCGGCCGGACTTGAACGATGTCGACTGTCTCCTGCAGAGGCACTTTCCCGGCCTCGTCAGCCATTAGCGTCTCATACTCCACCACGACCTCCACCCGCTTCTCTTTCTTGCTATGAGTCTTCTTAGCTTTTTTTGACACGGCGCGGATCACCTTTCCCTCGTACCATGCGCCGCGGAAGCCATCGTCATTGCTGCTAATCTCAACATCCGCCCCGTTCGTGAAGTAGGTGTTCAATATCTCTTCGAAATTGTCTCCCATTGAAATTGGGTGCGGAAAAGCTGAAATCGAAACGAGGGCTTTGCGCTCGTCCATGGCGGACGAGGATAGATAAAAGAAAGAGGAGTAAACTAAGGACTTTTAAATGTTTTGTTAGGATAAACATTGAAGTGAACTTTTTAGTGAGGGGGCCTTTGTTAAGGTGTAAATGAAACACTTTGCGTGCCGTACCATTTATACACCCTTGTACACATCTTATATACACCATGTTTGTGAAACTTTTTTTTTGTATGTGAATCCGGTTCATAGACAATATTTTGTTTGTGCAAAACAGTGTTTGTGAATCGATGTTCACAGACAAAAAAAAAAACTTTCACAGACATAGATGTGTACAAAAGTGTGTATAAGAGTGTGTACAAACATCATTTTTGTTGAAGAAATGCTTGCTTCATTTCTCTATATTTTGGCTCACCATACTAAAAATAGAGTAGCCAAGAGAGAATTTGTGCGCAGCGGAGATGAAATTAGCAGACACTTTTATAGCATTCTAAATGGTGAAATATAATTATAGCATGTTCTGTAATGATGTTTTTCAATTTTGTCTAGGATGTGTTTAATTTCTAAGCAATTTCATATTTGGTTGAATAAAGTAGTGAACCGTTATTCGAAGTTTTATAAATTTAAAGCTACTCACTTTCTGATTTTTTATTTTATCAGTAGCTTTCATGTTTTTAATTTCTAAGATGACTTAAATCTCTAAGCATGAATTGTTTTAATATCTAAAAAAAAAGTAGCATGCCAATAAACTCATAAATTTGAAGACTTCCAGGTCCATAAAATGGCATCTGCAGTAACCTGGAGTAGGAATTGCTTCACTTGCAGAGTTACAGAAGCATGATATTAGTATATTACTATGCATAAATGCATAATCGTATTTAGGGGTGGACTCGGGCCAGGCCGAGCCAATTCCGGGTCGGACCTGAGCCCGGGCGGGCTTTTTTTGGGAAAGGGGGAACCGGAACCGGCCCGCGTCCGGGCCAGGCCGGATCAGGCCCGGTTCTATGTTTTTTTTGCTTTCTAATTAACCCCGACCCCCCCCCCCTCACCCCAAACCCCCCCAAAACACCCAGCCCTAACCAAGAAAAACAAAAAAAATTGAAAAAAAAGCCCGGGCCAGTTCAAGAAAAACATGGCCTGAGCCCGGCCCGCCCAACCGGGTAAAAGCCCAGGCCTGGTTAGCACCAACCGGGCCGGTCCGGGCCAGCACAGTAGCGGGCCGGTCCGGGCCAGCACAGTAGCGGGCCGGGCCGAATCAGTTGGGTCCATCCCTAATCGTATTAGGCTATTACACAATCACAAATTGATGTGCAAAAGATACAAGTAAAGAACGTACAACATCATGAATCACAATACAAGATAGTTGCAATCTATTATCGCTGCTAAACTGAGTCACAAATACAATATAGTTGTAGTTTATTATGCCTGCTATACTATATTAAGCCAATCACCTACGCTATAAATCACTTGGCTTTACAAATAACAATGCCAATTGGACTCACCTAAAAGAATCATTTTCTTTTTCATTCGAGGTCAAAAATACCCTCAAAGCATTTATCAGTTATACACGTATACCCTATAACTACTACAGTGTGTGATCAAATCTTTGAGAAAGACCGAAAGCAGCCTGCGGCTAGACCAGAATCTGAGACTTGGCGGCACCACGGGAACACTTCCTCCTCTTTGATTTGCTTAGTGCACAGACACATGTCTCCAGAAGATCCAAGTCCTCTTCCCAGAACAAGAAAGAAGCCATTTCGGGATTTCTCAAGAGCATCTTGGATGTCAGAAAACCAGCTATTGTCCAGGTTTGGTAAAGCCGGGATTGTTTACCTATGAACTTCCCACTTTTCGTGTCATAATATTCAGGCCAGTGGTCAAGCTGGAGCCTTTTCTCGGCCAACTCAACGCCTCTGCTAGCCAAATCTGTTCTCCCCATCTTTAGACATGCCAGTGTGAACTGAAAGAAATAAGAGCCATGTGAATGAGGCATTGCAGCAGCCACTCTAAGGGGGGATGTATTCATTTTAAAGCTATTTTATGATACAATTCATGTGCATTTTCATCGCTTAATATACTAATCACATTTTTTTAAATCTAGAAGTTATTAAATTTAATGATTACAACCCCAAACTTCTGTGCAGCAATTTTAGTTTATTTCAAAAAAAAACTAGAATGATCACTTAAAGTTTGTTTAAACTCAAAAGTTTGATGAAAGTAAAACATGGTCTCATTTCCAATAAAATGATTCCACATATTTGTTCAGACTTCAGACCTGTTTATTTATTTAATTATTTGTATCAAATAAACAACAAGCTATCTAAATTTGCATACGAATATTATCAAAATTAATGACATTCCATTTCCCGTTGTATTTATAAAGGAAAAGCCACATATGAAAATATAATTCTCCATAGCATCTGTGTTCCTTTGTCTAGCATTTCATGAGATCCAAGCATACACTTGATGTAAGGGCACAATTAAAACTTCAAGAAAGCTTAGTTACCTGCCAGAGAAGTGTAGGCCAAGATCCCCCATTATGATATGACCAGGGCCTGAAATATCAAAAGTATAGAGTCAGTAGTCAATAAGAATTCAAAGCTCAGGCAAGCAAGCATTGAACATCAACCCTTGTTTGAGGAGGAGAAATAAGGAAATGAGAGCAGAGGAAGATTGGGCTGATTGAATAAAATATTACATTTAGTTCACGAGACTGTAGGAAAGAGGAATTTACATTTTGGAAAGTACGTTAAAAAAATGGTGTGTTTGATATAATAAGATAGAACAACAATAATATAGAACATTTATGGCAAACACTAAGATGAGAGAAATTAAAAACAAGATAACCTCTCAAAAACATCAAGGTAAGAGAAATTAATATACGAGTTTGGAAGATTTTAGAGCTCCCCTGACCAAGCAACTCCTAAAAGTTTATTGGAAAACTTACGTATTCTTTGGATCACAACCTGTGATTATACGCCACTCTTCGGACTCTAGAGCAGGATAACATATCTTAAGAGGCATCTGACCCGCAAGATCATCCCATTTAGCATCCATCAAGTTTAGGATAGCTGCATTTTGTTTTGGGGTACCAAGAGACGAGACAATTGACCAAAGGTTTCCTAGTGTGAAGAACCTAAAGTCCATGTGAGCTGGCTGTAAATTCCCGATGAGATAGCCTCCTTCCTCCGGAATCCAATCCATTAACCAATTGGGAATTTGTTCAGGGTAGATATTGAACTTGTTAGTGGCGTCTGTGGAATACTCTTCTGTCTTATATCTGTATATTTCATTTATCTTCTTCATATCAACCCAGTAGTATTCCCTGATGTGAAATGATAAAGCACTAAGCCTGTTGCTGACAGCTCTCACCAAATTCTTTGATCCTTCATCTGAAGCAAGCATTTCACGGGCGCACCTAAGAGCCGAGTAAAATAAGGCCTGTATTACATAAGTGTTATTCTGAATTGAATTATTATGAAAAAACTTTATAAAAATATAAGCTTAGAGAGGATAGCGCCACCCCTTGGTTAGTTTATTCGCGTATAATTCACGTATAATACACTCAAACGTATAAAAAATGTATAACTCATGTATAATACTCCCGTTTATGAATTTTTCAGAAAATTCTGAAAAATCATGTACTTTAAGGATAAAATGTATAATACACATACCATACGTATTGATACGTATTTTATTCAAAAAAAGCAGCATTAAACTAAAGCCTAATGGAATGGTACAACTGAAGCGAAATGTCTAGCTTCTCATTACTGTTTATATTGCTTAAAAATCACTATGACTTATATGTCCGTTAATTGTTTAAAAGTCATTAGATTCAATAAATTAGCTCTTTAAAGTCATAATCCGTTTCGATATTACTATTGTATTACTCTTTTCTCCACCCATATCAAGACTCCAAAGAGAGAAATATTGCAGATTTGCAGCTTCTCACGACCACTGTATTCTCTAGTAACATCTCTCTACTTCTATTCAAGTAGGCAATGCCATTTTTATTACTTATTGTACCTATGAATTCAGATTCGTATATCAGGAGTATTTCGTACTTTAATGCAGAGGAACACTAAAATTTATATTTAAAAAACCAGACCAGAGCAGCTGGGTCGACCCGGACCAAGAGCTTGTCAGACAGTGCAAACCCCAGAAATGGGTAAAAACTAGAAAATTCAGGCCGTCCCGGAAAACCCCAGTTTCAGACTGTTTGTTTTTTTAAATGATTATAATATTTTGTATTAATTATTTTTAATCTAATAAAACTGCAATCACAATCCCCATATTATCATAAAAAGAAAAACTATGTGATATATTTGTATATTTATCTAAGAACGAAATTCATGCCAAATTATATTGTAAATGTAATATTATGAGAGTATTTTAAATGCTCTCATAATTTTTCTAATCACAAATAACAAATAACATTGTTTATTCTAATAGGAACAAAATTATATTTCGGAATATTATGAGAGTATTTTAAATGCTTGCTCTGTATTATAATTATTTGATTATAAATGTATTTTATATGTTTATTATTATAGTTTTATAGATGTTCACCGGTTTTCCCACTGTTGACCGGATTGACCCGTCGGGGAATACACGTGACCCGGTCATTTGGCTGAGTTGCTTTGTGGTCTGATTTTTAAACATAGAATAAAATAGTAAAAACAAATGAGGTGCCAAAGAGGATAATCCTAAAACTGATTTAACTATTAAATTACTTGAATCTCAAGTGGATGGCCATGAATCCCCATCCGTCGATCTATCATGCAAGATCCGTCAGTTACTAGCAAAGAAGGAAACATATCAAAGCCATCCGACAAACACAAATTCAATATTAGTTTAATGCCAGTCTGTACATCCACTCTTTCCTGCAAAGCATAGTCATCGGTGATCTTCCCATATGATCTCAACAAGATGATCCACCACAAGCCTATCAAAGTCACGAAGTAAACTTCATTTCAGCATTCATTTATGATCTGACTACAATGAAACTAATCTTTATTTTGAAAGTTTTCTCAAGCGCTTCTTTTATTAAATTTTGTCAAGCTTTTCCCCAATGAAAGAACATACAGAAACAAGTCAAAGAACCCTATAGACACAAGTTAACTGAGAAAAGCCTTAATCACAACCAAGTCTCAACCACCTAAGAATTGAAAAGAAGAAACATGAGAATACATGTGATTTGGTTTATTAACAACTTTTTGGCAACCAATGGAACCAAAAATGCATTAAGTAACCTGAATCAACAGGTGCAACACGGCCAATTGCTGATTCCCCAAAATCAGGATCAAGAACTTCTTCAAACGTGTTTTCATCAATAGCCACTGTTCTCACTTTAAAGCTTGCAGGCATCAGCCCTTGCCCTGGACTGTAACAGTCAACTGTTTTCTCCCAACTCTACATAAAAACATATGTGTATCTAAATTAGGAAAGGAAGAGATCCAAGCACATCATTTCCAAAATACATAAGCTAATGAGGATATGAGTATTAAAATAAGATCAACCAATCAACCATATTTGAGCAGATCAATCACTCATGAGTCATATCAATCTCAGTAGTCCTCTACTTGATTTCCCATATGCTTGTCATGTGCCATACAAGCATCACTAGAAGGTGTTATATGCAATGACAAATTGGAAGTTGTGTCAAACTAACACTTGACCATTGTTAAATTATAATTCCCTCTATGTTACAAACAAACTGCATTTGACGTTATTCTCGAATGAAAGAACACAAGATCACCTGTAGTTGCAGGGTATGAAGAAGAAAATGTTTCACTATATCATTCTCCCCTTTGAGTAAAAATGCAAGGGCTGATGGAACAAAATCCCTTATGAACACTTGATCATAATTAAGGGGTAGCTTATCATTAGGATCATTTGCAGCCAATGTCCCAACTGGACTCTCACAGTACCTAACAACAGCTTCTTCCAGCAACTTCCATGCCTCCTTTTCAGCCTCAGATTCATCTTTAAGGTTATTCACAATGGCACTTTTGTAAACTTCCAGTCCATCAAAATGCTGACTTTTTTCAATCCCATCGCCATTAGGAAAAGAATTTTCAGCCTGGCCAATCTCCTCCTCTACCACCACTGCGGACTTCACGTTAAGCCCTCCCTGAGCATAGATTCTATCGAAATTCTTATCGTTAGCCCTGGGTCTGAAGGAGGTGGAGAATTCCCGAACATTAGAAGCAATACAGGAAATCAAATGGAAACGCTTACTACTACAAGGCCTCCAGAGATCCCTCGGTTTACCCCAATTAAAACGCGGAACATATAACGTCTGGCTATGGCACCCACGAATTATGCCCCCGCATCCCGACAGAGGTGGCAAGCAGGGGCGAAACACCCTGATATTTGACGAAAACTCAAACATGGACGTGCTGCTCCGATGGATCAGAAATCGAAAACACGGCTTCGTAGCCACGAATTTCATCGCAAGGCACAGCCCGAATTGGTAACAAGTAAAAATTACGCAGTCAAAACACAAGACAAAAAGAACAAATCTTTGAATTTTCTGATGGATAAAATCCAATTACATAGATAGATGTGTCGAATTAGCGGATCTGAAATGTGATTTGAAGAAACATTGATAGATCCGTGGCTTGAGAATTCGGATTAGGGTGCACATATATGGGGGAAATGTTGAGGATGAGATTTTGCGGGAACAAGATTCACGAAAGGAAACTTGCACAACAAGAATGAATGGTCTATAATACGGGGAGAAGTTTGCATTTTTGAATTTGAATGGAGTACAATATGGTGTTAGTTCTTAAATAAATGCTTCTCTTACATAAATAAGGAGGGATACCATACCACTTGTGTATGGTTGATAGTGTAGCACGTTCCTCCCTCTTTATAGCACAAACGAAGCACCACGCGGTTCGATTGCACCGGCAGACTGACAGATTACTGGCACCGCATACCTGGCCCAACAATCTCTCCCCCCACCTGGCAGTCTCAACTGCGCAACATGCTGTTACCGGGGTCCAACCCGTGACCTTGACTCTGATACCACTTGTGGATCGTTGCGCTTACCGCTACACTATAAGCGATTGTTTTTAGTGTAGCGGTAAGCGCAACGATCCACAAGTGTATTTGCTTCAAGGAATGTCATATAAACATGAGAATTTCAAATTGCTAGGTATGTTAGATTGATGGAAATGTATTCACTTTATTCTCATTTGCGTTTGGTTAAGGTTACGAGAATGTGACATTATTTTATTTGGTTAAAAGATATCTTATACTCCGTATTACAGATATGGTGGATTATCTCAATGTCCTTTAAATATTTTCTCTTAACACAATAAATCTATTACAACCTACGTCTGAAGTAATTACAAATTAAACAAAAAAATGAAATATCTTAATAATAAATAAAATGAAATCTAATTGAATTATTTTTAAGTAGGTTTAATCGTAAGAGCTTGTAGATCCAATACAAAAATGAAAAAAAACTCTGTTCAAATAGCAATCTAAATATATTTATTATCACTTCAATAAAAATAAATTTAAAAAATGTTCAAGTTATTCGTAAAACTTGTTTTCAAATTAAAGAAAAAATGATCAATTTTGCAATTAAATTTTGAAATCCACTCATTAAAAACTTAAATAATCTATAGGCATAAATATCTTAAAAAATTTAAATGTTAAGGAAAAAAGAATTATGAAAATAACAAGAATAGACATTTGAATATAATTAAATAAACATACTCCATTCGTCCCATTTAAAAGGTTGTCACACAATCTAGATATTCGACTGACTTTAAAATTAAAAAATGATGACAAATATATAACTGAAACGAAGGTAATGGACGCAAATATGACTTAGTGACTATAATAGTAACTTTATTGACCATGATAGTGTTCAACTTTACATCATAGTGACTATGCATATTAACCGTAGTTATATTTTTATACATAACTTATATTTTAGTACCCCTAGTAATATTTAAGGAAAACCCCCTAAAATTAACCGATCCTTGTCAATTATAAGATTATTTTTAGTAAATAAAAGTTACAAATTTAGAAACTACATTAAAAGTTTTACAAAATCACAAAAATTCAAATTTGATAAAAGTTGAATACATAGAGAAATTAAATGAAAAGCGATAATTAATTGAGGGTATTTTTGGAAGAAAATTAGATCATCCCTGGGAATAGGGGTGGGAAAATATACCGAAATTTCGGTATACCGGCCATACCATACCGAAAAATACCGAATTTACCGAAATTTTCGGTATACCGAAAAGTTCGGTACGGTATGATACCATACCGGGTCACTTCGGTACGGTAAAGGTATGGATTTTTTAAATTTTCGGTATTTCGGTATATACCGAAATACCGTTAATTTTCGGTATGGTACGGTATATACCGAAATACCGATATACCGAAATAGAATTTGTAAATTTTTAGGGCCAAACCCATTAAATGAAATTATTAAAATACCAAGGCCCAAAATTAAAATAACCCATCTTATAATACTACGGCCCTTCTCTAGTTCTCCCAAGTAGAGGCCTAAATCCCTAATCAAATAAATGGGAGAATTTGAGTTTGCACCCCATGTTTTGGGTAATATTTGACTTTGCACCTCATTTTTAAAAGCATTAATGTATGCACCCCATTAGCCCAAAAATTGTGAAGGAATGGGGTGCAAAGTCAAATAATTTTATAGTGAGTTTGGGTGCATACATTAATGATTTTGAAAATAGGGTGCAAACTCAAATATCACCCAAAACATGGGGTGCAAAGTCAAATTCTCCCCAAATAAATCAACGTAGAGTCAAGCAGCTTCTCTTCTCTTCAACGAGTGACAGAGTTGTGGACTATTGAGCATTGACGATGGAGATGCGGACGAGTGACGGAGTACTCAAGAACGACAGAAAACTTCGAGCTAGAACTGCGGACGAGTGATGAAGACGCCATTGACGAAGCACGGAGTAGCGGACGACCGTCATTATTTGCTAAAGCTTAACCATCCTGGTAATATGAACAATCTGGTCTATGCTCATTCTATATTTATAAACAAATGATAAAGTATAATGATAAAATATTTATACGGCGGACGACCATTATATTACCAAAGTAGAAAAATCTCTTATTTATACGGAGCTGCAACAATGATTCAAAGATTTGTTATTACAAACATTAGTTATCATTGATTTATGTTGGATAAACATTCTAATTTTCATTATGGATTGTGTTGAGACTTGAGATATTAGCACATAATTTTAGTATTTTCTACTTTGGATTAAATATTGTGTTTTAGTTTTGGTATCGGTTTATGTATTGATGTCGTATGCTACTTTTGACTTGTTAAAATCACTTTTTTTGGATGTTCGGTAGGCCCCTCAAGCTAATACTTTATACGGAATTGCCAAGAAGTTTATTTTTTTTGAATTTTCGGTATAAAACGGTATGGGTTACATACCGTACCGAACTTTCGGTATACCGAAATTCGGTATACCGAAAGTTTCGGTATGGTAACGGTATGACATTTACCAATACCGGATTTTCGGTACGGTATGCGGTATGCATTGAAATTTCGGTATACCATACCGAACCAGCCCTACCTGGGAATGTCAGATAACCTAAGGAATGGAAGGGTATAACATTCCATTCCATATTACATTCCCGGGAATGTAACTTTCCCGATCTTTTCTCAAAACCGTGAACCAAACATGGATATCTAACATTCTAGGCATCACATTCCGGCCTCAATGTGAGATAACCCCAAACCAAACATACCTCTAGAGTTATTGTAAACAAAAATATGAGTGCTTTGTGATTTTCCAAAAAAGTGACCGACTCTTCCCCGTGAGAACGAAGGGTCACAGATCTACACACATTTGTCCGTCCAGATCCCTCCATATCCCAAGCTGTTCATCTCCCTACCTCCAGCACACCCCCTGACTCGCCTCCACATCTAGCAACGACGCCCCAACTTCTCTCCGACGCACATGGGGATCGATCTAACAGCAAGCACCTCTCTGCCTTCCCTCTGCTGGCCGCAAGGGACGACCGCCTCCTCTTCTCTTCACTACAAAAAAACACTTGCTTTGTCACGGATTTTGTCACGGACCGTAGTTCAAAAAATCCGTGACAAAACGCGAGTTTTTTTTGTCACGGGCCGTATTTCTTTTATTACATAATTAAAAGAAATTAGTTAAAATGACATACCTTATCTGCATAAACAGGAAAAATGATGAACTGACAGATTACATCATTCAATCTTTAAACCGATACTACATCACTGCACTATACGAATTTTTGAACCGATAAGGGATAAGTGTTGTTCTTGCAATTGTAATGGACGATGAGGTTGGGATATATAAAAAAAATTTGTCACAGATTTGTCACGGATTTATCCGTGACAACCCCTTTTTCGTACTGTATTATTAAAGGTTACCGCTGGAAAATCAATAATTGAGGTTTGTCACGGATTTTGTCACGGATCCAACCGTGACAAAGTTTTTTTGAAATCCATCACGGATTTGTCACGGATCTGTCCGTGACAAATGCCCGGGAGCAAAAAAAGTTTTCGCCGGAGTAAAAAACCGGTCGCCGGAGTAAATTTGTCACGGACCAAATCCGTGACAATACTTTGTCACGAATTTTGTCACGGACCTATCCGTGACAACACGTTTTTGTGACAAATCCCAATATTCCGTGACAAAGCCCGTGACAATTTTGTCACGGCCGTAATCCGTGACAAATATCCGTGACAAAACGCGAGTTTTTTTGTAGTGCTTCTTTAGCGACTGCCTCTGCCTCATCTTTGCCCTTTGCCTCTGCCGGATGACAGGTTCGCACTGCTGCCTCCGCCGATGTTGCAATTCCGCCGCCGCCGCCTATTTGGTGCTAGGGTGGGTCAATTTCTTCTTCTTCTCTGCGCACGACCTCCCCCTCCTCCTTCTCTGTGAATCGTCGTCTTCATTGTTTCATCGATCTTATTCGTCCCCTCTATTTTATATCTGGTGGTTGTTGGGGATGAGGCGAATCACAGAGAAGTTAGGGATTGGGGCGAGGCAGGGCGGTGGTTGGTTGGGCTGGTGCGAGTCGCAGATGGGCTAGGGGGCTAGGGCGGCGCTGGGCAGGGGCGTTTGGCCAGGGGCACTAGGCCAGGTAGTCTGGAGGGGGGATGGGGAAGCTGTGGGGGAGGGGGCTGGGAGAGCATGGGAAAGAGTCTGAGGTTGGGATAGGGGTCCCTTGACGGTCGGGGTCGGCGACAACGGTTCGGCGGCGGTGTGCTGACACGTTTCGGGAGTGAAAATTGTGGGTTTGTATAACATCTTGACCGGAAAAAATCGCCGGAAATTTTTCCGACGGCATAGTGACAAGTTTCACGGCTACAGTGACATACGAAAGTGACATTAAAAACGATAGTGACATTAAAAGCGATAATGACTTTCAAAAGTGACATAACAATCTGGTAATGACATATCAAAGTGACATAAAAATCATGCGGTGACATTATGTTTTTCTAAATATATAACGTTTTTAGTCACATTTTTGGCCTTTTGAAAAAATGGTCACATTTTTGGAAATTGACTTTTGTTTAGTGATAATGAAGGAAAAAGCCCTCTCTTAAAACCGTTTGCAAAAAAAATCTTTGGGGTTTTTCCTTAAATATTACTAAATTCAAGTCAATTTCCAAAAATGTGAGTACTTTTAAATACTGACAAAAATGTGATTAACAAGATCATGTATTTGAAAAAACATGATGTCACTGCAAAATTTTTATGTCATTACTATTTGT